ACTCCGCGGGTTGCCCCCTGACTTCGAAGAGGCAGTAATGACATAGCCCACACAGCCCAGGGGCAGAGAAAACCGCCTCCAGAACCAGGAGCTCCTGGGCCCGGGTTCCGTCGCCCCAGCGCGGTTTGGAAACAAAACGTTTCCGACCTCGGGCGGGATGACGCACGGCTCCCGCCCCAAGCCCCGCGGCCCCACCCGGCCCGCGGCCGCGCCCGGGGCCCTCGTCGGCGGCAGGCCCAAGCCTCCTCGGGGCAGCGGTCCGGGGACGGCCCTCCCCGCCCGCCGCGCTTCTCACCAGCGGGCCGCGGCCGGCGTCCGGGCCAGAAAGGAGGGGGAAGCTCGCGGTCCCGGCGGCTCCGCCAAGGCCTGCGGCTCGGCGGCCTCTCGAATGGCGGCGAGGCGCAGGCGCGGGCTTCAGACGCGCGAACGTGCGCGCGCCCCCAGGAGGGGAGGGCGCGCGCTCACGCGACTTTGGCGCCGCGCCCCCCGCGCAGACCAATCGGATCGCTGGTCTCAGGCGCCCCTTGCGGAGCGCGGCGGGCCCCCGGCAGCCCTCCCGCTCCCGGAAATGACGCGCCTCCCGCCCCGGCCGCGCCCCGAAGCTCCGGGAGCTGGCGGGGCTGCGGCCGGTCTCCGCCGTCCGCGCACTGGCCCTAAGCCTTTGTGCTTCCCGCGGGGTCGAGCGCCCGGCTGCTGAGTCCTGGGCTTCTCTCTGCCTTTGGCCGAGTTCTCTTCCGTTGACAGCTCCTGAAAGCGGCTGGCCGCTGGGTTCCGTGTGAGAACAGACGGCATCCATTACCTCATGCAGGCATCTCTAGTCTATTATTTTTCATTTTATCCTCACTTTCACGCCAAATTCTAAATATTCTCTGTTCTTTTAATTTCTGGAAGTACTCTAAATAGTAACGGGTTCGTTCTAGGAAATTTTCAGGTCTTTGTTTTTGTAGCAAAATGATCCATACATTTGACCGGACTTAATAGCTTTAAAAGAAAACTTTTCGGGCTTTCCTGGTGGTCCAGTGAGTATCTGCGTTCCGTAGTGTCTCAGCTGGTAAAGAGTACGCCTGCAGTGCGGTAGGCCTGGGTTCGGATCCCTGGGTCGGGAAGATCCCCTGGAGAAGGGGCCAGTTTTCTGGCCTGGAGAATTCCATGGACTTAAGTCCATGGGGTCACAAAGAGTCGGACAGGACTGAACGACTTTCACTTACACACAAAATTTCATAATTTTTTTCAGTTATCTTTTACCTGAGCTCTGTGGATTCCTCCCAGATAGAGGCACCTGTCTGGGCTTGAAGAGTACCTCGCTAGATTCCCTGTGCCAAACTCGAACTTCACTTGGCCACCACTGAATTTAGGATGACCAGTTGAGTAAACAACTAGAACTGATGTTTAAATCACCACACTCTCCATAAACTCAGCCCAACCCAGCACTCTCTCTTTCTAGTTTAGAACCTGACACTGGGAACCCATGCCTGCATGTGCTCCCCCTTACGTTTGTAGGCGTCAGTTAGTACAGTGCCTGTTCCTTTGGTTGGAAGCGGCCTCCTCTAGACATTGACTTTGTTACTGGCTACTTCAGATCTGAGATGGTGTCGGGGAGGGGGAGCAGAAGAAAACCAGCTTCCTTGGTGGGGGGAATGGCATGGCGGGGTGGCGCTCAAGTGGGTGTCTGTGGGTCTGGGGCTAAGTACCTCAGTTCTGATACATAGTCTAATTCTTTCCAGATTATTGACCCAACTTCCACACAGGCATTTTGTGGCTATTTCAACCCTGTGATTGTAAGATATAAATTATTTTAGTACCTGCATAGCAAGTCCCAATTCTCATGTCTATAAAGTGGGAACACTTTAGACACCATGTGTGCTGTTTGAAAACTTTCAATGCTATAAGAAATTGCTGCTCTGCCTACAATCCTGAATTCCTTTTCCCTTTCACACTGTTCTGTGGCAGTGCCAACGCAGCTTCCTCAAACCTGGCCCCGATGAACAGTTTGTTTTAGGTGACCACAGGTAATTAGTCATTTTCTACCATAGGGCATAAGCTGCTAGATTTTTATCCCTGAATATTAGTGGAATTTTTACTCAGGGCAATGTAACTTATCTCCCCAAATTTCCTTTCTCCAAATTCCCTTACTCCCCTATTAATCAGTTTTCCTTTGAAATTCTTGGTTTTAAGCAACAGAAACCAATTCTACCTGACTTAAGCAGAAAAAGAACTTACTGTGAGCATCTCAAACAGTTCAGAGTCAGCTGGAAGCTGGGAGTACCAGCAGTCCTGAGGCAGGGCTTGAGGATGCATTTCTAATAAATTCCCAGGAGCTGCTGAGGCCTGGGGGGCCACTCTCTGAAAATCATCACAGCAGAGCAACAACATTTCTCATGCATTCAAACCGAAAGAAATAGACACAGTGACTCAGACTCCTTTAGTAGCAAGACTTGTCCCTTGTCTGCAGGGAGGGGAGTCTAGGATGAGCTGCTCTAGCACTGCCACCAGGAGCCCATGGCCTTTCCAGCAATGGGAAAGGCTCAGAGTGCATAGCTTGGGTCTCCTTGGTCACTTTAGGTGATAGTTTCTGCCAATAATATTGAATTGCTCCATTTTATGTTTATGGCAAGAAGATTGTGAAGAAAATTTAACGCTGGATTACTGTTGTTCAGTCACCCAGTCATGTCCGACTCTTTGTGACCCCATGGACTGCAGCACGGCAGGCCTCCCTGTCCGTCACCATCTTCCGGAGTTTGCCCAAGTTCATGCTCATTGCAGCAGTGATGCCGTCCAGCCATCTCATCCTCTGATGCCCTCTTCTCCTTCTGCCCTCAGTCTTTCCGAGCATTAGGGACTTTTCCAGTGAATCGTCTGTTTATATCAGATGACCAAAATACTGGAGCTTCAGCATCAGTCCTTCCAGTGAATATTCAGGGTTGATCTCCCTTAAGATTGACTGGTTTGATCTCCTTGCTGCAACTTTGAGGAGTCTGCTCCAGCACCACAGTTCAAAGCCATCAACTGTTGGCAGAGTAATGTCTCTGCTTTTCAACACACTGTCTAGGTTTGTCATCGCTTTCCTGCCAAGAAGCAATTGTCTTCTGATTTCATGGCTGCAGTCACTGTCTGCAGTGATTCTGGAGCCCAAGAAGAGGAAATCTCTCACTACTTTCACCTTTTCCTCTTCTATTTGCTATGCAGTAATGGGGCCAGATGTCATGATCTTAGTTTTTTAAATACTTAAGTCTTAAGCCAGATTACTGACAGCCTAATATATAAAAATTTTATCTTCTGAAAAGTTATTCCTTTGAGGATCTGATGAAAGCTTATATAGACCATTCCACAGAAGTGTACAGTATGCTTTTTCATAATATCATGATCCCAATTTATGGAAGCTACCGATGGCCAGGAGGACAACAATGTCACAAGAGCACCCAACAGGTTTTGGGTTAAGATTTCCTGATTTAGGGGGACTGATTCTGCCATTTGTGATGTAGAGGATTTGAGGAGGCCTGTGAGCTCTCAAGGGTCTCCATTCCTTTTGTGGGAAAGGAAGAGCACTAAGGCCTCTGAAGTCGGGCTGGTCTGCTCTCCTCACCTGCCTGGCTGACGCCTGGAGTGCCTTCCGTACAGAGGCACGTGGTGACCTCCTGATGAGCAAATGTGTCACTCCATTCAGCCGCCTTTCCTTATTGTTCATGGAAGTATAGTTGATGTACAGTATTACATCAGTTACATTATCATCACAACAATATTACATAAGCTACAGCTGTGCAACATAGTGATTCATAACTTTTAAAGGCTATATTCCATTCATAGTTACTGTCAAATGCTGGTTATATCCTTGTGTTGTACAATCTATCCTTGTGGCTTAAATGTTTTGCACACCATAGTCTGCACCTCTTGACCCACTACCCCTATCTTGCCCCTCCTTCCTCTGCTCTCCCCACTGGTAAACTGTTCTCCGTATCTGTGAGTCATTTTTTGTTGTTGTTTTATTCACTAGTTTTCTGTTTTAGAGCCTACATGTAAGTGCTATCATATAGTATTTATCTTTGACTGAGTTATTTCACTTGACATAATGCCCTTAAAGTCCATCCATGTTGCTGCTAATGGAAAAATTTCCTTCTTTTTTATGGCTGAGCAGTATTCCATTGTGTATGTATACCCCTTCTCTGTCCTTTCTTCTGTTGATGGACACTTAGGTTGCTTCCATACCTTGGCAGTTGTAAATAATGCTGCTGTGAGCCCTGGGGTGCATGTATCTTTTTGAATTAGTGTTTTCTGTTTTTTCAGATTTATACCCAGGAGTAGAATTGTGAGGTTATTACTTTGACAGCTAAAAGGAACATATGTTTATATATTCTTGTGCTTAAACATTTTGCTTTAATTTTGACTACAGTAAACATCAATAGCTTATAAACAAAAGTTCTTTGTGGTTGTTAATAATTCTTAAGAACGCAAAGTATTCCTGAAACTAAAAAGTATTAATGACCATTCCTTTAAACCACGGATCTTGAAAATGAACCCTAACAGACTGTGGTCCACAGGCCAAATATTGAATGTTCCTGTTTTTATACATTAAGTTTTATAGGAACCCAGCCCTACCCATTCATTTTTCTATTGTAAATGTATTCGAAGGCTGCTTTTTCCACTATGATGGCAGAGTTTAATAGGTGTTACACAGACCTTATCGCCTGTAAAATCTGAAGTGTTTACTATCTAGCCCTTTCCAGCCAGAGCTGAAGCTGCTGGGTCACCCGGACCTCACTGAATCCACAGCAAGCCCTCCTCCCCACCCCCACCTCCTGAGTCAAGAGCTGGGGCACGGCAGTGATGGCAGACCGCCTGCCCAGCAGGCCGGGGCTTTCATGACAAACCTCAGTTTCCTGATAAACACTTTGTATCTTATAAGGAATAGATATAATCAAAACATTCAGATGATTACAGCTACATTTTAAAAAGCAGTTTTCTATCACATAACATTCTATGTAAGGAAAGTATCATAACTGGAGTTCAAATTCATAGCAACTAAAATTTTTATTTAATAAATGGTACAAAAAGCACAATGCCAAAAACATTAACATTTAAAATTTCACCAAAAGAAAAAATATTATAGAATACACAGTTGCAAAAAGCTACGTTAAGATATTTTACAACTGCCTCAGGCTGCAAAAAGAAAAATACCCAATGCCATACCTAAGTTATCCCTCTTTCAAAATAATGCCATGTATGTTATAAACCATGAGCACCCCATCAAAAAGACTGGAACTATTTTTGTTAATTCAGTGGCCATAGTGTTAAAAGGGCAACAATTAGACCTTTGGGGCTTTATACAGAGTTAGAGTTCCTATCAGAGGGACAACAGCACCACAGCCTTAGTGAATTCTTATGAAAGGAGGTACATGAGTGACCGAATTACAAGAGTTACAAGGAATGAGAGCTGCTCACTTCCAAGAAACTACAGTTCATAGAAAACCAACAAAGGCACGAGATACAGACCATTTACTCATGAATGCGTAAAACTCAAAGTCCACGGAATTCCTACAACATGTTGAAAGTGCTTCAGAATTCACACAATACTAGTTTTCTTTTGGTTCTGGTTAAACTATATATACCAGTTTATAACAGAAATGGTAAAATCTGTAACTCTGTTCAAAGTTTTAAAAGATTACTTAAGAATGGTTTCTTGTATTTCTATGCCACCTTTATAGTTCTGGTTTCTCATTTCTTCACTAGGAGTAAATTCAGTGTGCAGGTTTTATCCCAGGCTAATTTATACACTTCCGGAAGGAACGCCCTCTCAAATCCACAGAGTGTTGAGGTGGGGAGCCCCGACCCACATCACCAACATGCATGTCGCCCCACACCGCCTCTTCACTCTTCTCAGCTAAAGCCACCGTTGAGTCTTCCACCTCACCCCTCCTCCCGTCGCGGCCCTCCTCGGGGTGTCGTCCATCACAGTCACGGGCTCGGATGCGAGCTCTGGGCTGGTAGAGCTGCAAGCCTGGCCGGTCCTGCCAGGAGAGAAGGCGTGTTACTCTTCCAATGGCCAGAAACACAGGGTGGGGCAACAGCTCTATCTATTTTAGGCCCTGATAATCCTAATTATCTAAAGAAAATCAGTCTAGCAGGTAAAAATCAGCCTTTTTCATAGCACTATCTCAGAAACTAGGCATTTTGAGATTTTAAAATAGGCCATGAAAAAGAAGTTAGTATTCAAAATAACTTGAGAGTAAAGTTAGTTTCTGAGAAAGTATTATTGCTCAAACCTAGACCACTCTGTGGAATTGGTACAATCATGGCATTCCCTCCATTGTGAGAGGTGAAAACTCAAACACACTCATCACAGCCCCTCAAACTCACCATGCACGGTGGATGCAAAATTCGAAACAAAGACATGGCCTTTGAGCTATGAACTGAGCAGGCACACACATTTGTCATAAGCTATAATTTCTGTGTAGCTTATTCCTCAACTGTCCCCTTTATAGAAAATACTAACCAGTCATCATACTAAACTCTTCGAGGTGGTGGGATAAAAATATGACTGGATAAAGTACATGAAATGAAATAAAACTGCTTCAGGGCATGAGAAAGCAAAGCCAGGGAAGGACAAAGTGATTCTGCAGGCCAGGACTGTTGCGGAGGCCAGCCAGTCCTACAGGAGCCGTGTGTGTACATGGGCAAACAGCGGCCATGGCCTTCCAGGGCCACATGGGGGGCAGTGTGACTCAGGGGTCATGTCTTCTGCTGTTTCTCTACGGCTCACCACTCACCTTTACCCACCACTCCTGGGCTGTGTGTGAAGTCCCCACAGTTGTTACCATGGGGTTTACCAGAACGTCCTTTTCCTTAATATCAGCCTGGCCAGTGAGAAGAGTGGGAAAGAGCTTGGTAGGCCTGTATAGCCTATCACGCTCTTTTGCACACTTTTGGATCAGAAAAATTAATACTGCTAAAACAGCCACACTAGCCAAAGCAATCTACAGAAGTAATGCAATCCCTATCAAAATACCCATGATATTTCTCACAGAACTAGAATAAATAATGCTTAAATTTATATAGAACCACAAACAGCCCAGAACTGCCCAAGCAATCCTGACATAAAACAACAAAGCTGAAGGTGTAACCCTTTCAGATGTCAGACTATACTAAAAAACCACAGTAATCAAAACATTATGGTGCAAAACCAGACATATGGATCAGTGGAACAGAGTAGAGAGCCCAGAAATAAACCCGCACACCCATAGTTAAATAATCTAAGCCAAAGGAGGCAAGAATACACAATGGAGAAAAGACAGTCTCAGCAGCAAGGGGCGTTGGGGGAGCTAGACAGCTGCACACAAATCACTGAGAACATACCCTCACACCATGCACAAAAATAAACTCAAAATTGTTTAAAGACCTAAATATAAGACATGGCATCATAAAAATCCTAGAAGAGGACACAGACAAAACATCCTCTGACATAAATCATAGCAATATTTTCTTAGGTCACTCTCCCAAAGCAAAAGAAAATAAATGAGACCTAATTAAACTTAAGACGCTTTTGCACAGCAAAGGAAACCACCAATAAAACCCCTTACAGAATGGGGGAAAATATCTGCCTGTGATGTGACCAATAAGAGGTTAATACCCAAACTACACAGACAACTCATAGCCCAATAAACTTACGTATCACCTGTGTGAAAAGTATTATAAACCTAGTACAATACAGTGCTACATAGCCAATTGTGTTAGCTGGGTACCTGGGCTAACTTTGTTGGACTTTATGAACAAATTGGACTTAATGAACACACTCTCTGAGCAGAATTTGCTCGTGTGTGGGAGACTTACTGTAGTCGAGGTATGGAAGCAGCTTAAGCGCCCACTGACAGATAAGTGGGTAAAGAAGATGTGGTACATACATACTGTGTACTATCACTCAGTCATAAAAAGAATGAAATAATGAACGTTTGCAGCAACATGCATGAGCCTAGAGATTATCGTACTAAGTGAAGTCAGTCAGAGAAAGTAACTATATGATTACCACTTACATGTAGACTCTAAAAATAATAAAAATGAATCTATACACAAAACAGAAATAGATCCACAGTCATAGAAAACAAACTTACGATTATCAACGGAGAGAAGGAAAGAGGGAGGGACAAATTAGGAGTATGGGATTAACAGATACAAACTATTAAACATAAAATAGATAAGCAACGAGGATTTACTGTATAGGACAGGAATTACATTCAATATCTTGTATTAACCTATCATGGAATATAGTCTGAAAAAAATTACCAGTTCTCAGTACACCTGAAACTAGCACAATATTGTAAATCAACTAAACTTCAATTAAAAAATCAGAACACTGTTAATAACTGTAAAAGGGAGCACCAAGACATATATTCCTTACTGTCTTAGGGGAAAATAGATAATCTTTCCATTACTTAGTTTTAGGCAAATAGTGTGAATGTGCAGTTTTATGCTAAATAAAAAGGGTTTTGTGTTTTTTTTCCTTTTTTGGTTAAAAAAAAAAAATCAATTCTCTAAGTAAAGGAGATGCTGGTTTCATCTCAGGCCCTGGTGCCCTCTCACTTGACAAGAATCACCGCTCTACAGACACGGCCTTTCAGGACAGGGAGCCCAGAGACACTGTCAAAGCCTGTGGTCCTGCGTCTCAAGACACTTCGTTAAATAAAACATTTTTGTTTGAAAAAGCAGCTGTAAGCTTGCAGGATTACAGTTTATACTGTGAGCAGGGGAAATGAACACAAGATGGTCCCTGAAGAGTAAAAGAACCTTGTTTCCCGTGCGCTCCTTTCTGGGTGCTGGCCGGTCTTCACTCTTCTCCCTTCCCAGCCTGGCAGCCGCTTCCGTAGGGCAGCCACCATCCTGGCTTCCTTTCCTCCCTCGGTCTGCGGCCAGTCCTTTCCCCCACGCCAGCTCTTCTCCGCTTCTTCCCGCACATTTCTCCAGCTCACAGTGGGCTCTGTGTTTCCTGCTGTCATCCGAGTGGCATCGCTGTGCTTCAAGTTCTTTTTCTTGGGATCTTCTCTCCTTATCCCTTTGCTCTTTATCACTGTCATTTTGTGACCTGTGATTCAACACAAATTATCAGTAACCTTACATAAACTGCCCGACAACTATCTGTCTTCCCTTCTAGAAGCAGGCAGGGAAGACACAGTCTGCTCATCACTGTTATGCAGGTTTGCACATGACGCGCATGCGACAGATGCTCAATAAGAAACTTTGAAAAGATGAATAAACAAGAGTAATAACAATATTTACTCTTATGCCTGAGTGACATATATGCAATAGGCACTATGCTAGGTATCATATACACACACATATATATACATTCTTGTAATTCCTAATAAATAGAACCCTCTGTTTCTTTTACAGATAAAGCAAATGAGACCAGAAGAAGTCAAGGGGCTCTCCTAGTAGATGTCCATGATGGACATCCATCATGACGCAGGCCTGGTATTTACAGTCTGCGTTTCTGTTCCAAGCAGAGCTAAAGTTAATTTAAAAAATTCACACATGCATCAAACTGTCAAATGAATACTAAGTAAATAAGTCGCTGCTGAGCTCATCTTAAAGTCTAACTCTCCATGAGCCCCACATACTGTCTGTGGCTCTGCGCAGGATGGCAGAAGACCTGCAAGCACCCATCTGTTCCAGAGACGGGGCGAGAGCAGAGAAGAGAGCGACAGACTGACAGAGCCCCCTGAGGGAGAGAGTGAGGGGAGAGAAGACGGCACAAGCAAAGGCAGGAGTCCGAGAGAAGCAACGGAAGAGTAGGCTGTGGAGACAGGACACTCCCTGCTTGAAGACAGCCTCGGGGCTGCAGACTGACCGGTTCACCATCAGCATGACCCTGACCACAGAGACAAAGGTGTGGACAAGCACACCCCAGCAGAACTCCTGAATTCCAAGCATATTTATGAAATATAAGCATTTACTCACACTGCAGAAGGATATACGACCACAGCTTGATGACAACTTGAGGTGCAGAACATGGCCTGAGAAACAAGAGCTCAGCTCACCTCTCCCGGAGCTCCTCCAGCGAGCCCTCCGAGGGCCTGGGCTTCAGGACGGTCCCACTCGGACAGGGCTCCCACCTCCCGTCTCCAGGGTCGATCTCCTCCGCTCTTTCTTCTGGTTTCTCTGTGCTCGGTTCCTCTCCCTTTTCTGGTTTTTTGAGAAGCTGAGAAATTATAATGCTACTAAAATACCACTTTAAGAGTATAGTAAAAAGAAAGTATTTAGTAAATAAGTTAAAATATACACCGATATCGAGCTCAAATGTTTGAATAGCAAAAAACATAAGCTAAAGATCCAATAAACAGGTTTTTGGTTAAATATACACGGGTACATTCAGTCAATGAGGTACTCTGTAGTTATGAAAAAGATATTATATATATGAAGAAAAGAATGTTACAAAGCAGAATGATCTGATTCCTATTTATATGTTGATTCACAGATATATTAATAGAAAAATGTCTAAAAGGCATGCAATACTGTGTTATTATTTTCAGTTAGCAGAAACGATTTTCTTTCATCTATAGGTTCTAGTTTTTCTGAAATGAACACGTATTACTTTTATAAAACAAAAAAAAACTTTTTAAAGATGTTTTACTGTTGATGACTTTGAGAATAGTTTTCAAAATACCTATTGCTCTCTTTCTTGTAACAGACTTAGCAGTAACGCTGATACACTGATTCTGTTATGAAATTGGACCTTCCTTCTGTTCTTACTCTTTGAACTTTAGTACCACAGGAAGAGTCAGTTTGTAGAACATGAACGTAAGTCTACATGTAAGAATTTTGCTCTCACTTATAAAAGTGAACTTATTTAAGTTGTGGTATAGAAAAACTATACACAGACACATTTCACTAAATGCAATCATTTAAGAACGAAACACAGACTGTCAGACACAATTGTGGAAGTTGCTTCTCATCAGAGGTTACCTGCACTATGTTACCTGCCTATGGGGAATCCTTTCAGGTAACAAGTCTATCTTTTTTTTAGTTTAAAAAGTAACATATGCAAACCACAGGGAAACGCAATAGTGAATGTCTCCATCAATCCAACAAGTAGTTTATGCACCTACAAACTGTTGTAACAATATTTCTGAAACCAAAGAGTTTTTCCAACACCACCTCCGTGACTCTCAACACAGGCTGTTGCCCTATGAGCCAACCCACTTCTGACGCCATCTACCTGGGGTCAAGGTCAGATCCCACAGGGCCGTCCCCACTTCACTTTTTATCTTTTATATTTTGTCCTACCTCCCTTCGAAGACAATGGGCTGCTTTTCTGGGCACCTGATGTCCTCTGCTAGCGGTCAGAAGTTGTTTTGTGAAGTTTGCTCTGCGTTCAATTGTTCTTTCGATGAATTTGTAGGGGAGAAAGTGGTCTCCCCGTCCTATTCCTCTGCCATCTTGGCTCCTCCCCCCCACCCCGTCCCCACTTCAGATGCCAGGTGTTAGTCCCAGGTTGTCACCAGTGCTCGTGACTGATTGGCTATAAATTCAGGGAGTCCTTGAATGAGAATGACTCATGGAACTCAGGAAGCACTTTACTTACTATTACTGGTTTGTTATGAAGAGTATGGCTCAGGCCCAGCCAGCTGGGAGAGAGCTCAGGGCGTGGTACCTGGGACCAGTCTGAGGCCTCCTTCCTCCACTCTCTCAGAAGCAGGATGTGTATGTCCACTAGCTAGGTCACTCTCCAAACTCCACACTTCAGGACTTTTATGGAGATACCATTCCATAGGCATCACCGACTGCACCTCTGGCCACTGATGACTGAACTCGATCTCCAGCCCTTTCCCTCGTGGGAGGTGGGGATGGCGCTCGAAGTTCTAACCCTGTAATCATGCCTGGTCTCTCTGATGACCAGATTCCATCCTGAAGCCATCCAGGGCCCCAGCCACCTGTTAGCTCTTAGCATACAAGACATTCCTATCACTCCAGAGGTAGCAAGGATTTGATGAGCTATGTGCCCTGAACTGGGGAAGACAGCCCAGGCTCGGGGCTAGAAATGTAGCTGTACGAAATGAGGGTCCACAGTTAGGACCTCACACTTGATATTCTTGCCAAGGTGGTGGCATCACGGGAGTGGGAGAACCATATCCACAGTGACGAAAACAGAAGAGTGAGCCAGATAATCTCAGGAGGTTATAAAATGCTACAGACACATAATAAACAGAATAAAAGTACAACGTGTGGGGGATGGAGGAGGAATGGTTTCTCAAGGGGTCGGCGAAGGGCTCCCTGCACAGACAGGATGTACCCAGGGAGCAGACGGCAAGGGGAGCCATCCTGAGAGGGCCTGAGTCTGGTGGGGTGGGGGAGCTCCCTGTGGGAAGAGGGGGAGGGAGCACGGAGGACAGCGGGGAGGACAGAGGGGGAGGGAGCACGGAGGACAGTGGGGAGGACAGCGGAGAGGGAGCAGGGAGGACAGCAGGGAGGGAGCACGGAGGGAGCATGGAGGGCAGCAGGGAGGGAATGGGGAGGACAACGGGGAGGACAGAGGGGGAGGGAGCACGAAGGACAGCGGGGAGGACAGAGGGGGAGGACAGAGGGGGAGGGAGCAGGGAGGACAGCGGGGAGGACGTGTGTGCCCCGTTCAGTCTGCATCCATGCTTGTAAACTGATCTCACACACCTTTTCCTACAGAGCTTCGTGGAAAAGATCACACAACGTTTTCAGATAATAGCCTACAACTGTACACAGTTTTCAGGAATTTCATTTGTGACTCTGGCAACCTGACTGCCTTCTTCAACTTGAGCTCACTGCTTAGTTTTCTGAGGAAAATAAACCACTGGGTTGCTCTCCGTGAGTCGTATTTTCTTTACGGTAAAAAAGGGCCATGAGGACCTCTCTCTGCCTCCTCACTTTTAGCTTATCAATACAAATTCTTTTGGTCTTTCTTTACAGATTTTATTTTTTTAGGTTTCCTTTTTTTAAATTTTTATTTCCCCAGATGAATCTTAGGTCAGAGATCCCCACACTGAGCACATGCTCATAAAAGGCTCCTCTTGGAGTCAGAAACGTACTGTCAGATCAGAAGCCCAGATCAGATCAGACGCTCGGACGACAGAGCTGTGGATGACTCGTGTCAGTGGGATCTAACCTGCCACCAGGATTCTGTTTTACCAGATTCAATAAGACTAAGCCTTTCTCCTGCTGTACCCATGTTTTGGTTTCTTTTTCTTTTTTTTCCATAGTGGCTGTACTAATTTGCATTCCCACCAACAGTGTAAGAGGGTTCCCTTTTCTCCACACCCTCTCCAGCATTGGTTTCTTTTTCTATGTGAAGAGCCCTATAGTTACTTTTACTGACATAATTTGTTTTTATTTCTTTGGCTTATTTTGAATTCTAATTCTATATTCAAACATGTAAAAATAAAATGTTATACTTCAAATACTGTTAAGTCTTACTTAAAATTAGAGTCAAAATTGTAGGCTACAAGTTTCAATGATTCTTCCTGAAAAACTCTCAAAGCTGTTGAAAAAACTGCTTTTGAGAATATCAAGCATTAGGTGCTACTACATTTTGCTGAGAAAAGTAAAGGAAAAGCTTAGACAATATCTGCATACCTGCAAGTGTAAGGTCTGCATTGGGGATATACTTTCCTCCCCTCTGGTCATGACAGAGCTGACATTCTACAATGACAAAGCCCTTCCCATAGTACTGCAGCTTCATTTTATTATCCTTCAAGGGCTGTTAATTTATACTGCTGAGACTATGTAAGTTTGTTATAGGAAGTGTATCAGCTACATTTCTGCTCTGAATAGTTGTGCTCACACTAAACCACATGGACAAACAGGAGACACTCTCTGAGTTATTTTCAGGGGACACCCTGGTTTTGACTGTTATTAGGTCCATGTCCTGGCATAAGCAAGATAGACAATCTTCATTTACTAATCTTGATTGGGCCCCTCAATTTCATCAATGTTATTATCAGGTTATGAGATTTTAAAGCTACATAGATCTGTAAGAATTGTCATGAAAGCCAAGATGAAGGAAACCACTTTGTCCAGCTTCTCGCTCATCTTGCATGCTGAGTTTATCTTTGCAGCAGACATGCTGGAACAACATGACCTGGCCCATACCATCCATCAGGCTGAGTTTTTCAGCAAATCCTGACACTTAAGGGGACACATTTCAAGAAGCGGCCTTTAGAAACTGCTCTGCATGAGTGCTGTTCATCAGGTGTTTCAGGCTATCCTCCTGATGCTGCTGCTGCCCTTCAAACTGACATTAGAGGGGGATATGCCCTTCGTTGGCCAGTGAAATGCAGCAGGTATAAAAGGTTTATGAACCAGTGTGCAATCTACTGTTACACACCTCATCCCCCATCAGAAAGACTGTGGAAGCAAATGCAAGATGGAGCCTCATCAGCTTGGGTCACTGGAGGGCTATGCTGAGCAATGCACAATGGACACCTAACGTGAGCAGGAAGAGCTGCATGAAACCAGTGAGATCCTGAGGCTACTTTCACTGCAGCATCACCAAGCCAGTCCTGATTGACACACACGGCTGTGTGTTTTACAGGTGCACCGTTAAGACATTCCCTTAAATGCTAGTGAACCCCATACGATCACCTATGAGAGAAAAGGCCTAGAAAAAGCTTTGCTTTCCTTGAAGAAACGGCATGTTTTCTCCTCGTGGAGAATGAAAACGTTTCTGATCAACTTTTCTGTTTCTGATTGCTGAGCATATCAGCAACTGACCTGTTGCTTGATTATGGCGACTGTGATCTCTTTCCTCTCCTTTCCTTTCCACCTAGTTCCCACCTGGTCCTGACCTTTCATTTTTTTCCCTTTATATTATGCGATTTTAATGACTCCTTAAAGGGAACTTTAAACACTTCACAGAAGAGGTAAGATGCACGACAGGTTGGAATCTAGACTGAGTTAGTCACCTGAGCAGAATACTAAGAAGGTAACAGTTGACCCCAACTGGGCATTAAATTTTACACAGAGAAAAAACCTAAATCACCTTGCTAAATGAATGAGTCAGTCAAAGAAAAAATGGGGAAAGAGATGTAGAAACCATTGCTGCTACCGCAAAAGAAATGACACAACCAGTTCTATGAGTCAGCCTGCATATAGAAAGGCCAGTATACACAAAGCCAGCCGGTTTCAGATGTGTAGTTTTTTAGTTAGGAAGTCTTTCTTGAAAGGCAAATCTAAGCAGAGCCCCACCCTCTGACACTCCTGGAAGTTACCTTCATCCTTACTTCCTTCTCCACCACCATTTTCTTCTGCTTTTCTGCTGCTTTCCTCCTGCACTTCTCCTCCTCCCGCCGCCTCCGCTTCTCTTCTTCCCGTAGGCGCTTCTTTTCCAGCTCCCTCCTCCTCCGTGCCTCTCGTTTTTCTTCTCGAATTCGCTAAAGATGTGGAAAGTGTGTGTATAAATTATCTGCACAGACATGATGGAAACAAGAAGGCTACTCACAGGGTAAAAAGCCAGACCTACCTGCTTCTCTAATTTTCTGTTTTTAATATATTCCAAGAGAGGTGTGGTTCTTCTAGCTAAAATACAAAAACTGCAATGTAGTATTTAACTGTAAAATAAGATTTCCCTATTTTAAGTACTTGCTTTCAATTCAACCTTTAAAACAAGGGAAGAATATATAATTTTAAATTTTACATGAGCATTCATTTTATCTGGGGGAATTCTTACTCTATCTCTATAAAGTCAAGTAATTTGGAGCTACTGACAGTTTTACACATACTAGGCATTTAATTCCTTATTCTTAAAGGAGTCTTATATATTACTCAAAAATGATATAAAAGCAAAATAGCAAAATGAATATATTAAACTGCCCAAATATTCTATTTATATACAGACGGCCCTCACATCCACCAGTTCTGCATCGGCAGATTCAACCAACTGTGGATCAAAAATATTTGGGAAAAAATTTACAGAAAGTTCTAAAAAGCAAAACTTTGAATCTGTGACTCAGTGGCAACTATCACAGCATTTACAGTGTATCAGGTATTATAAGTAATCCAGACATGACTTAAAGTATACAGCAGGACGTGTGTAAGCTGCATGCAAATATAACACAATTTTTATAGAGGGGACTTAAGCACCCACAGATTTTGGTATCCATGGGGTGGAGGCAGGGCTGGAAATGAGTGAGGACTCTGCTCTGCACTGTGGAGGTTCTGGACTTGTCAGCTGCTGCAGGGCTGAGACCTACAGGGGAACGAGTGGTAGGGGGGTAAGGGGGGTTGATATGAAGACTCCACCTGCCTTCCCTCCTTTACTATAAACACCTGCCTTGTTCCCTCAGAGCACTGATATGATGGGTAAGTGACACCCTGTATAAGAAAGTGCTTGGCATGCTCTGTTGCACAGTCATGTCTGACTCTTTGCCACCCCATGAACTGTGCAGCCCACCATGGAGTTTTTTAGCCAAGAATACTGGAGTGGGTTGCCATTTCCTCCTCCAGGAGATCTTCCTGACCCAGGGATCAAACCTGCATCTCCTGCATTCCAGATGAATTCTTTACCACTGAGCCATCAGAGAAGCCCCAAAGAAAGTGCTTTACAAACCATAAAGGTGCATCTTTTACTAAACAGAACATGCATGACCATGTAGCCCTAATTTAACCTGCAGTAGAACAGTCCCCACTTACTAGGCTTGGCCACAACCACCTAAGAGGAAGCAAGTCCCATGGCTGCTAAGTCTCAGAGCTGGGACCTGGGCCCAGGTCTGTCTGCTCTAAAGGCTCTTGACAGGCCAGCACTGAACTGCAACTTTAGAGTGAACTGACACTTGCACATAACTCACACGGCTCAGACTGGAGACTAAGAATCCACTAAAGGTTATACTCTAAGGAAAGAAAAAGGCATTTGCCATGAATTTCCAGATTAAGTTTACATTTAAATAGGCAGAAACAGGAATCACAGAAACAAAGTTCTACAGGCTCCTCTGGGCTCGTGGATTCTAAGTCACATTTATTCATTTAGTAAATAGTTACGCTGAATCTCCTATGCACCAAGCACTGGGCAAGGTGCTGGGAACGTAGAGGACGACAGATCTCTCCTCTGCAAGACGACGGCTGGACTCTGTGGGACTGTGTGTGTGTGTGTGTGTGTGTGTGTGTGTGTGTGTGTGACCAGCAGGAGGATATCCAACAACTGCCCAGAAGAAAAACAAGGGTGTTTAAGAAGAAGCAGTAAAGAGACGGGAGGGGGAGGAACTTGAGTTTTGTAAATAATTTCTAATTTGCTTCCTTGTTTAGCTCTTCTTAAAATCACTATGTTCTACAGTGAAACTGCAATTTTCCCTCAACACTGTTTCTTTTCCACCTCAGTCAAGCTGCCGTAAACCACTGACCTACTCCTGGAGGAGCAGCTCCAAGTTGAGCTCCTGGAGGCCATGATCCTTTCTGCTGTCTCACACCCATGCTCAGTCCTCAGCCAGTCCTGTCAGTTCAACCTCCAGAACACATGCTGACTCTGCCGGACTCATCCAGCCACATTCCCCGAGGACAGCAGAGGCTCTAAGCAGTGCCCAGCTTCTCCATCTTCCGTGGCAACCAGAGTGATGAGGAAAAATAAATCAGACCAGATCACACCCTCGATGGTCTCCAGCCCATTATGCGATGGCCCTGCCTCTCCAGCAACTCTGCCTCTTGCCTGCTGTGTCCAACCACGCAGGCCCAGAGTGCCAGCCCCCAGCCCTCTCCTTCCATCTCTTGGCTCCACTGGACTTGGCTCAAATATAGTCTCAGAGAGGCCTCACTCTCTATCCCAATATCCTACTCAATCATATCTGTGGCACTTCTCACAAGAGGAGATGTTTGGGCTTAAGCGTTTCTGCTTGTGTTTGCTCCAGCCACCCCAGTAGGAGGGCAGCTACAGAGGGCGGAAGCCTGTGTGCCCTGTTCTCATGCTGCCCCGGACCCTGACTCAGAGTCGGTACCCAGTCAACATGAGCTAAGCACATCTCCGTAAATACTGCAGTGATTAAAGATCCTTCCAGTCACACATTAAATCACCTCCTATAAAACATAAGACTTCATTATTAGACTCATGAAGAATGTTTCAATAATGTTAACCTTTCTTACTAATTTATGCAACACACATTTACCAAATACCTAACTCGTCCAAGCAATGTACTATGTACTGAGACTGCAAAGACAAAAATACCGTTCTGTTGGGGGGGTGGGGAACAGGGAAGCAGAACGAGAGGACAATTAATGTAGAGGGAGAAGACAAAGAAGATAGACTATAACAGTGCAGCCGTTCTGTCTTGTACGTCTTAGTGGGTGAGCAGGAGGTAGGCATGGGAGGGGAGGGCAGAGAAGTGTTAGGCAGTAATGAGGCCCCAGACCCAACAGAAGTGAAAAGGGAGATACTACACATGTGTTTGTGAGTGACAAGCAGGTTGCCTGATAGAGAAAGGAGTTTCATGTCTACCCTTGATCTTCGGGCAGATTGCTACTAGGATACAGCCATTCCCCAAATATATCACTTGTGGGTAGAAGGCTGAAGGCCTGATTCAAACAAGACTCAGCACTCTGACTGGGCTTATCCACGCATCTGCCTCACTTGCTCAGGGGCTGTGACAGTTTTTGAATGATGGCAAGATGACATCACACTTAAACAAAGCATCTCATTACTGTGGCTGCTCTTTACAAAGATAACTGACTTCAGCTCTGAGACATAAGCTTCCCTGACGCAGCCCAGCACACAGCACTCAGATGTATTCTTGGCTGCCAATTCAGAGCATCAGAACTTTGAAGCAGAATGATCGCAACTGAAAACTCAGGTGTTCTCTCTCCACCGAGAGATAATCAGAAATACCTTCCCCATTTGCCATGCTGACATCCTTTTCCTTTTGTCAAAACTGGGAAACACTCTATATTTCTGGCAAGCCTGTCACATGTGTCCATTTTTTATATCATGAAAAAGAAAAAATATACTCTATAAATACATATCTCAATAAAGAGAAAAAAATTAGCAAAACAGACCAATAAGTTCTCGTGTCTTTGCCTCTATGTCTCCCAGAAGAGTTTCAGGACTGGCACTAGTTTTCTCCTCCTCCACACAGTAAGTTTCTAAAAATTTCTTATACTCTGGGTCTGTAAATTAAAACAGAAAAAAAGAGGAATGTATTACTTCCCATGTATGGGAAAGAATTATATTTGACCAATGTGCTTAATTTTGAAGCTTCACAATCCACTACTTGAAAAAGGACTCACCATCTTCAATGCTTCCGGTTTTGGCATCTTTTTTCTTTAGCTTCTTTTTTGCTATCTTCTGGAATGGAGCAAATTCTACCACTGCAGGATACTCTAGCCCTTTAACAGGAAACAAATTACAAAAGCCATTCTGAAATTCTACTGAATTCATTTTGAAACAATAATCTAGCTTACTTGAGCACTGAGCATAGCACTGATAATGTTACCATTTAAACTATAATTTAATTATACTTTCAAATAACAGTAATCGTAGCTCCAGATTTAAACAAAGAATTAGCAATTATTTACTAAATAAACTAATTCCTTACATTGTAGTTGTGGTTACATGTGGTTACATATTCAAAATTCATTAAGTTATATACCTTAAAGTGGTACTTTTTAACCATGTGTAACTTATACCTCAATAAACCTCTTCACTCTCCCGCCAAAGAGCTTATTTTGGAATACCTTTAAATAGCTTTCCTAGTCATAGCTTATATTTTTTAATTTTAAAGGTTAATTCAATGATTAATCTGTTATATGAATTTGAGGAAGTGACATAGTTTACAAGAGACACTCATTTAAATAGAGGGTTTCAAAGGATGTACATGATGTTCAGGTAAGATTTGCTTCATACAGAAAAATTCAGGATGAAAGTAACTTGAAACTAATTTTGTTGCTATATTGGGGTGGGGGACAAACAGAAATGTTTACTAACAGAATCTGCTTAATCAAGAGATGAAACACTTCTACCTTGGTACCAAACCCTTTAGCCACTTTTATATTTGTCAGATGACTGATGTTTTAACTCTCATTTATCTGCAAGACACTTTTCTATATTTGCTTTATACTCAAATATGCAGCATAAAGTCAAGACCCAGGAGAAGAGCAGGGCTTCAGACAGACAGGGACAATGTCTGATTCACTTTTCATGCTGTGCCCATAATGCCTAGTACATAGTACTAGGACAAAATAATTTAGTTTGCATAAGAGAATGAATTTTACTTATCCAGAAAAATTTTACATAAAATAGTAAAGTTTACTTATCCAGAAAACTCATTATGAGAAAAACTTCACTGTCCAATGATAATACCTAAGTAGGCTGTCTACACAAAATTGCTAGAATTCTCTGGTTTATATATAATTTTAATTTTCAACATAAGCTCATAATCACAGTAACATAATCAAAGTTTAAGAAGTTATCTTAGATTAGCATCTATGGACTCAATTAAAACTCACAAACATCTAGCAAAACTTAATTAATGTACCCAGAAATTATAATGAAGAGTTTAAAAAGCCAATGACCCAACCTTTACTATCAATGAAGATATATCCATCAAAACGATCTCTAAAAAGAAGGATGTCATCTGGATTTCTAAAGTTAATGTATGCTCTTGAGTAGAGATGAGGATAAAGACTGAAAGAAGAGACAACAATGAAAATAGTAAAAAACTTAAGACCAAAACAACTTAAGACTTCTTTTAATTTCTTTTTTCTTTTCTGGATACAACAAACTATTTCAGATAAAACCTTTATGCCAAAGAATCATTTCTCAGTTAATTACAACAATCTGGGTACTCTTCATCAAAAAAATCCAAACAAAATATTAACTGAGATTTTTTTTAAAGATTTCAGAGATATTTTAGGTTGGTTTCTCTACTACACAGAGCCAGGATTAAAATACTGGTTCTCAGAGATAGGAAATCAAAAGCAAAGTTATTCAGAGATCATTCCTAATCATACATCATGACTGCAACACAACCCAGTCATGATTCATTCAGAAAAAATGTTATATTGTAAAGAGATCCTTTACAGATTTAAAGAGCATGTTTATGTTATCTTAAAAGAGTATTTATTATAGCATGCAGCATGGGATATAGAACTAAACCTTTCTCCTCTATCTCACAGTTACCAATGTCCTTCATAGGCAGGAACTTTCAATCCCATTTCATGGATGAGAACACTAGAACACTAACGTTCAGAAATATCAGGTACCTGCAGAAGGAGCAGTTGGTAAAACGGTAGGGCTGGGATTCCAATCTGAGTCACTCTGAGTCCAGTGCCTGACCTCCTTTAACTGTATCCTAAACTTGAGTCATTTGAAAAAATCATGTTTATGTTGTTGTTGTTTTTTAAAAAAAAAAAAACAAACAACCCAAATCTATATTTACTTGTGATACTTTTCTCTGACTGAACTGACATTTTTTTACTGAAAGGTATTTATTCAAAAGGAAAGTATGTATGACTGCTATAAATGAGAACTCATGATACTGAAGAGAAAAATAATACAGATAATGTGAAATCACTAAGAAATCACATAGTGAAATTCACTAAATTCTAGCTGATCTGTCCCCTGTTGAGCTAACTTGAGGTCTGCTCTTTTTTAATAAAAAATAGATATTGAACTGTTAAAGCATTGACAGAAACATCTTACTACCAAGCTGCAAAAGGGAACAGAAAGAGACATAACTTAGCAGAGGTGGGTTGAAAGTAGGGGTGTCAGTTCTGGAAGGGAACACAGGGGTCTGAGTTACATGGGTGTGTTCACTTGTAAAAACTTATTAGGTTATACATCTATTATTTATTCATTTTTCTTTCTTATATTTTAATACAATTTATTTCGTATAAAAGGTAGTATTAAATAAAGTTTAAAGTGAAGTTGCTCAGTCGTGTCTGACTCTTTGCAACCCCATGGACTGTAGCCTACCAGGCTCCTCCCTCCCTGGGATTCTCCAGGCAAGAGTACTGGAGTGGGTTGCCATTTCCTTCTCCAGGGGATCTTCCCAACTCAGGGATCGATCCACAGGGTCTCCCGCATTCCAGGCAGCTGCTTTAACCTCTGAGCCACCAGGGAAGGGGTAAATAAAGTTCAGTGATATCCAAAACAAAATTAAGTAATATGGTGTTAGACTGCTTTTCTTTTTAGACTATGTTGATGCTATGGAGATACTCAAATCATTTTAAGGGAATTTAGTAATTCGACTACTTAGAAATAACTTGAAGAAATAATGGTCTGCACTGATTTCTGCATATGTGTGGGAAAGAAGTTTAAACAGAGATGGCTTCTATTATCTATATTACTTTACCATCCAACGACAGTGCCTCTCTCTCTCTCTTTTTTTTTTTTCCCCCCTTTTCTCGGCCCCATGGCACAGCCTGTGGGATCTTAGTGCCCCGTTCAGGGGTTGAACCGTGCGGACAGTGAAAGCTCGGAGTCCTAACCCTGGACCGCCGGGGAACTCCCGCTCGGCGTCCTAAGGCTGGTGAGGTCTTCTCACCTGACATCAGCAGTAAAGAACTCGAAGTAATCGTGTGCAGGCAGAGGGTGCAGCTGCTGTTCCAGCTGCTCCTTGGTGAGGCTGGGGGGAAGCCGCCGTATGACCACCTGGGGAGAGAGGTTGCTAGTTGGATTCATTAGAACCTCATTAAGCTGCAGCTACTAAGTGGGGACACGACTTAGCGACTAAACAACCACCACCCGCATCCCGGTCACCCCGTTTCTGCTCAGAATATCCAGCTCGGAGTATTTTAGGATATCATGGTTGTGAAAGGTGGACCGTAAAGAAGGCAGAACACCAAAGAATGACGCCTTCCAACTGTGGTGCTGGAGAAGACTCCTGAGAGTCCCTTGGACAGCAAGGAGATCAAACCAGTCAATCTTAAGGGAGATCAAACCCTGAATATTCACTGGAAGGACTGAAGCTGAAGCTCCAGTATTTTGGTCATCTGCTGCGAACAGAGGACTCATTGGGAAAAGTCCCTGATGCTGGGAAAGATTGAGGGCAGGAGAAGAGGGCGTCAGAGGATGAGATGGCTGGACAGCCTCACTGCTGCAATGAGCATGAACTTGGGCAAACTCCGGAAGATGGTGACGGACAGGGAGGCCTGCCGTGCTGCAGTCCATGCGGTGGCAGAGTCGGACACGACTGGGCGACTGAACAACAACAAATATCCTAAAATGAGTGAAATACGAGGGCTCAATAGTCTAACAGGGATCGGTGACGTCAGAAAAGGCTGCGGACAGTAGCCCTTCCCCAGGCAATGGTCATTAAAGCCAGACAGCCGCTGGCAGTGCGGCCCACGCGCTCATTACGACGCGGTCGGGACCCGCAGGGGGCGCCACGGCAGAGCGCCCGGGGAGCAGCGTCTGCCGCCCGCCCGCCCGCGGCCCCACTGGGCCGGCCCGGCTCCCCTCAGCGAGGAAAGCTACTGGCCCGCGGTCCCAGCCTCGCCGGGAAACACCCGGGAAGGTCAAAGTGAAGTAAAAGTCGCTCAGTTGCGTCCGACTCTTTGTGACCCCATGGACTACACAGTCCAAGCAATTCTCCAGGCCAGAACACTGGAGTGGCCAGTCTCCAGAGGATCTTCCCCGACCCAGGGATCGAACCCCGGTCTCCCGTATTGCGGGCGGGTTCTCTACCCGCTGAGCCACCCGGGAGACCCAAGCACGCTGGAGTGGGCGGCCAATCGCTTCCTCACCGCCCAGACGCCGCTGTCCGCGGTGCTGGAGAGCCAGCGGCCCCGCCCTCAGCTGCTCAGGGCAGTCTCTTATCGCGAGGTTTGCCGGCCCGCACCGCCCCCGCACCGCCCTCACTTTGCTCAAGACCGTCCTCTTTTCCTCGCGAGGTTTGCCTGCGCCGCTCCCACAGCCGGAGGAGGAGGCCAGCGGCGCTTCGGCCTCCCGCCGCGGAGACTCCCGGCGGAATTGGCTTTCTGAGGATGATGGTTTCTCCCTCCCGCTCGGACCCCGCATAGCAACGGCCACACCGGGGCCCCCGGCTCCGTCCTCCGAGCGCATCCGTACCCCACGCGGCGCTGCCACCGCTTCCCGTCAAAGCGGAAGCCTCGCGAGAACTGGGCCGCCCCTGCCGTTGTGAGGCCACAAGTTCCCTCCCCCGCCCGGGGCTGCGCGTCTGCGTCCCCCTCCCACCGCCGGGGCCGGAGACGCGCGCGGGGGAGGGGCGCGCGCGGACCAGAGAGGAACCCGAGCTGCTCTCTGCGGGCCGCGGTCAGCCAGTAATTCGGGGCGCGAGCTTAGCCTCAGTAGGAGCTTTGAACTGGGAGGGGCGGGGCCGAATCTGTCTCCCGCGGAGAAGAAACGTTCCAGAAAATTACACACGCGCGCTTGACAGTGTTTTGTTTTTGTGTGCTCAGTCGTATCCGACTCTGCAACCCCATGGACTGTAGCCCGCCAGGCTCCTCCATTTAATTTTTCAGGCAGGAATACCGGAGCGGGTTTCCATTTCCTACTCCAGGGGAATCTTACCGACCCAGGGATCCAACCTGCAGTCTCCTGCATTTACTGGTGGATTCTTCACCACTGTGCCACCTGGGAAGCCCAATAAAGTGTTCACAGCGTTTTATTCTTTTCCAAGGAAATGTGAACGTTTCATCAGAACAGCAGTTAAGTTTAAGAAAAACCAAGCAAATGACAGCACAAATCAGCACATGGCTTTCTCCTACGAAGTAGACTAAATGCCCCAGAGTTGACAGAAAAAATTGGCGGCAAAGAAGTTTCGTTTCCCTGCCCTTAGTGCTCAGGTGTCAGTGACTAGAGTAATTCAGACGCTCAGCACTCACAAAACATGGCCTTAATGTTTCCAATACAATCTTCACTCATTTTTTGAAGCGCCCAATGGGACAACAACCATGTTTTCCTTTTACAGACATGCAGGCAGAAGTACTTTCGGTTAGAATAATTCATATAGAGGTTAGTTTTTAAATACGTTTTTCCATGTTTTCGACATAATCATGTTGGCTGTATCTTTCATCCGTAGCGCCTTCCCAGCACTGCAAGTACACAGGAGAATGGAGTGACAGGCATTAAGAGATAAGGGGAGTTGCCGGCAGCCACTGGGAGTAACTCTGTTTTAACGCAATCCAGTCTTTTATCCCTGAACCACTTGCTGCCTATGAACAAACTCGAATGTGTCGGTTTGGGGCTGGGCTTTCCTGCGCGCACGGGCTTCTCGGGCTGAGTGCCAGCTCTGGGCTTCAGCAGGTGCAGCTCCCTGGCTCTAGAGCACAGGCTCAGTAGTTTGGCGCGCGGGCTTAGTTGCCCCGTGGCATGTGGGGGTCTTCCAGGGCCAGGGATCAAACTGGTGCCTCTGCATTCTTAACCACTGTAGCACCAGGGAAGCCCAGAAATACATCATTTTAAATAAGCTAAAAAACCGGGTGTGTGTGTGTGTGTGTGTGTGTGTGTGTGTGTGTGTGTCCAAAACCAAGTTCTCAAAACCTCCAGAAAGGGGGCAAGGAGTCGTTTTCATTATTTCATAAAGTCTAAAGGGATCCTATGTATGTACACATGTATGTGCACACATGTACACATGTATGGAAGTGAGAGTTGGGCTATAAACAAAGCTGAGCGCTGATGAATTGATACTTTTGAACTGTACTGTTGGAGAAGACTCTTATTTAAGAGTCCCTTGGACTGCAAGGAGATCCAGCCAGTCCATCCTAAAGGAAATCAGTCCTGAATACCCATTGGAAGGACTGATGCTGAAGCTGAAACTCCAATACTTTGGCCACCTGATGCGAAGAACTGACTCACTGGAAAAGACGCTGATGCTGGGAAAGATTGAAGGTGGGAGGAAAAGGGGACAACAGAGGGTGAGATGGTTGGATGGCACCATTGACTCAATGGACATGAGTCTGAGCAAGTTCCAGGAGTTGGTGATGGACAGGGAAACCTGGCATGCTACAGTCCATGGGGTCGCAGAGTTGGACACGACTGAGCAACTGAACTGAACTGAAACGAATCCTATAGGAATAAACTATGATGAAGTTGCCACACACTAGATCAACAGTTTCCTTGTCTCCCTCCAATCAACTCTGTATTGAAAGCCTAGTTATGCGGATCAAAAGCTTTTATTGTGACAAAGAAAGTGAAAGCTGCTCAGCTGTGTCTGACTCTTTGCGACCCCATGGACTATGGAATTCTCCAGGCCAAAATACTGGAGTGGGTAGCCTTTCCCTTATCCAGGGGATCTCCCCAACCCAGTGATCAAACCCAGGTCTCCCACATAGCTGGCAGATTCTTTACCAGTTGAGCCACAAGGGAAGCCCAAGAGTACTGGAGTGGGCAGCCTATCCCTTCTCCATCGGATCTTCCTGACCCAGGAATCAAACCGGGGTCTCTTGCATTGCAGGTGGATTCTTTACCAACTGTGCTATGAGGGAAGCCAGGGAAAATGCAGTTGTCAGATAGTTAATTATATCCTGAGGGTGGAAGGTAGGGACAGAATGAGCTGATGGTGAGAAATGGAGGAATTTTAGAACTCATGTTTGCATAATGAAATTATTCTTACATGAAATTTTATAATACAAATTTCAAGACAGTGAATGATACACACTTGTAAAATCACTTATGATTTTACATGAAAAAAAAGTACAGCTCAAAGAAAATCTAGCTTCCTACACATTACGGAGCATGTTTTGTTTAAAATACACACAGAACTACATCGAAAGCAAAAGCAGTATTATGTAATCTCCAAATGTCAGAGAACCTAGCCCTAACTGAACACTCCACCCATGAACATGGTCCTGGTCACAGGAAGGGTTGCAGTTTACTCCAGAACACGGATCTAATGGATGGAGACAGTAGCTTAAAGCAACTGGTGACCATTACACTCTTATTTTTCTTCAAAGATGACAGCACAGTCACTTTAAAGTTGGCAGGAAGGCTGATATTTTAGGAAATTAGGCATCATTATGAGATACTAGAGATCTGAATCATAACAGAAAAGTACTTTGCAGAACAATTACACGTTACCTGTTTTTTTTTTTTTTTGACACTTTCTGAAGACTAAACACTGATATTAAACTGCTGCTGATGTGGAAAATGGTTTAGTCGAATGTCTTGAAGCTCTTGTCTTAAACAACTGTCAAGCAAGTCATGGCTTAATTATGGTGTTCAGTTTTCCAAAAAACCAAAAAAATACCACCACATGATCAGTTAAGAAACTAAATGAAGCAATGTTATCATCTGGTGGGCAAAATAAATGTGCAAAAGTATTAATACCTTCATTTTTATTTATTTTAAAAGTGACTAAGTTCTGTCATCTGATTTTCTAGCCCAGCTACAGGAAGCAGGGACAGGGAACATAAAACTAGGCATATGTGATGCCTGATGGAGACAGAAAACTCAGGAACACACTATTTGAGTCCAAACAGCAGCAAGCAACAGCTGGCATGCAGTATGCGGAGATGAGACAGGGAATGGGGCCCGGGTGCTGCCTTGCATCACTGCTGCTGCTGCTGCTAAGTCGCTTCAGTCATGACCATGGGATTTTCCAGGAAGAGTAATGGAGTGGGCTGCCATTGCCTTCTCCGGCCTTGCATCACTAGCTGTGCTCAGATTCCTCGTCCGTACCAAGTCTTACTTCAAAGACTTACTTCAAAGCCAAAGGACCACATGGGGTTGCTCTATGCTGAGCTACCCCCTGGGGCGAGGTGGTGCCCATGGCAATGCCACACTGTGACACATTCCCCTAAAAACATCTGAAGGAGGACTCTTAGAAAGCTTTGGAGCTTCCCAGGTGGTGCCAGGGGTAAAGAACCCGTATGTCAGCGCAGGAGACGTAAGAGACGTGGGTTCGATGAAACTTTTCCACCAGAGCCAAATCAAAATTTTCACATGCAGCTGTTTATATGTAGCCCAAACACACATATTTTCAGTCATTTAGAACCCGCCCATTTTGCATGCTCACCAAAATTACACCCAGCATCTGGAAGCTGTAAATAAGACAAACCTGGGGCCATGAAGACCCCTAGGCCTCCTGCACTTTGCACTTCTGAACCCAGAGATTCCTGAATGCTTCTACCTCCCTGGAAGGAACCTCCCTCTCCCCCAGGAGTTCCGTGGCCCTGCTCCCCCCTTCTGGGTGGTGGCCCATGCTGCGGTCTCAGGAAGGGGCGATGCATTCTTGCAACCTGTCATAACAGGGCTCAAAAAAACTACCCCCAATAAAGCATGCAACTGCCATTTATAGTCATGTCTTTTCCTCAAACAGCTCCAAAATCCGAGAACTCATTAAACTAAACATCTCAACTCATTCCAAAAAAGCATCTGACAAAATCAGCACCTTTTCCTGATTAAACAAAACACTCAATAAACTAGGAAACAGAAGAGAACCTCTCCAACACTATGGAAGACTAAAAGCTTTTCTCTTAAGACCAGGAATGCCTACTTTTGCCACTTCTATTCAATAAAATACTGGAATTTTAACCAGAGCAGTTATGCAAGGAAAAGAAAATGAATCCAAATTGGAAAGGAAAACTCTTATTTGCAGATGACACGATCCTATTGGGTAGAAAATTCTAAAAAACGGATACACACACACAAATTATTAAAGCTAAGAAACAAACTCAGGATACAAAGTCAACAAACAAAACTCAAGTTATTTCTATACACTAGGAATGATACAATCCAAAAAGGAAACTAAGAAAACAATTCCATTCACAATAGTATTATAAAGAATAAAATAATTAGGAATAAATTTATCCAAGGAGGTGAAAGACAACAAAAACGGGAAAACATTCTTAAAAGACATTAAAGACAAATAAATGAAAGCTCATCCTATGATTATGGGTTAAACATAATACTCAGTTAAATCCTCATCAAATTCCCAATGGCTTTTTTTCTAGAAATGAAAAAATATATATATAAAATTAATATGGAAATTCAAGGGACTATAATAGGCAAAACAACCCTGAAAAAGAACAAAGTTGTAGGACTCAAACTTCCCAATTTCAAAGCTTACTACAAAGCAACAGTTAACAAAACAGTGGTACTAGCATAAGGATATGCGTATGGACCAATGCAATAGAATTCAGAGCCCAGAAATTCCTTACATTT